CACCCTGGAGAACGGAGCGTCTGACACAGTGTGTTAACACGTGTATCGCTTACCAAACACGGTGACGGAGTTTGTCGGTGTACACGCAGCCCGCAAACTGCATGCGGTTCTATGCAGACTGCAGTGCAACGTCTTGGCTAAGACTTTAGGAAAGTGCATCTGATATTTCCAACAGAAATGTTTATGCGAATATTAAAGAAATTGTGCTGTCATAGGAAAATTAATAATTAACTGTATTAAGGAGTAATCCGTGTAATGAAATTGCTGTAATCCCCGTATAATAAGATGGAAGAGTAGGAACGGATAAACGTATTAATTAAATTAATAACGAGAGCTAAAGGAAGGACGAGAAGCCGAGCTCCTCGCGATTCGTTTGTTTCACTTCCAATTCAGTAATATTTTCCGGAAATCGTCGATCCTCGACAGAGTTTAAGACGTTTCCCCGTCCCGGGCGCGAGAGTTTTCATTAATTACTCGAGCCGGTTAATTACGGAATTCCTTTCCGGTGTACATCGGCGCGGAAGCATCTCTGGCTCGTCGTATCCGGCCAGAATGGCTCCACCGAGATTTCCAGGAGAGTAAATTTTTCCCGTGCGCTGACACCATTAAACACCGTGAAAATAAATCAGCCCGGCCCGTAAATTTCCAGATTTATCCTGTTCCTTTTTTCAACCGCCCTATTAAAACACCGACTCGCCATTTCTTTTCGCCGTTATCTTTTTATTTATTTCACAACAGAACGCCGACGTGGCCACGCCTTCGAAAAATCTTCACGAACCTGGTGTTACCAAGCAAAGAAGAAGATGAATATTCCTCGAACACGACTACGACAACGCGAACAGTGCGCCTTATGATTCTGCGAAGACAAATCGATAGACTTTGTCTTATAACTTGCCCTGTCGAGAAAACAAGGGGAGAAGACAAATACTATTGTAACGTTCGTTCATAACGGTGGAAAGCCTTTCCTCGTGCTTCAGCTCGATCGTGTATTTTCTCGGGACGAAGCTCGCTGGGGCCGAGGCGAGGGTGCCGAAAAGAAACTGACGAGAGAACGTTAAACACCGGACGACCACTCTGGAACGATCATACAGAGGGAAAGTGGTGTTAGAAAGGGTCAAGGGGTACTCTGCACCGTTTGTTCCAGTTAAGCCAAACTGCTGACTACGCCGGGTGACGATCCGACAGATGCTTCTGAACGTCAAAGGCTCTTCTTCCTAAGCCATCGTTGCCCGCGAAATTCGCAGCTTCCCTGTCATTCGTTATCTCAAAAATCTGTCTTTGGTAATTCTCGATCGAACGAGTGACACGAGAACTGTTTAAGAACTGCAAACGTTCTACTACACTTTCCAAGTGGCGAATGATAATGAAGAAGAGGTGCGGGTCGAGAAGTACTTTGCTCGAGTACAATGTACAACAAGGGAACCCCCTGTTCGGTCCTCGCCTGGCCATCGACGCAAAGTTCCCGTAATTAATTCATTGACCGGCGTTTATTTGTTCCGGGTCTTGCTCGACGACACAGAAATTAGCGATACCCAATCTTATACCGTCGTTATTCTCAGTTAATCCGTTCGTTAATTTTGCTGACTACCATTTTGGGGTTTCAACGTTTCCCAGCGCGAAGTAGAAAAAAATTGTAATTGATTTCGCTAATCCAAGGAAGGGAATAAATCTGAAAACCAGAGAGAGTGAGAGAGGAGGGGAAGGCAGGAATAGGATAAAAAGAAGAGGAAGAAAGACAGACAAGATAAAGCTCGTCAGTCTCTTCTGGAGACAGGAACAAAATTTCTGGCGAACAGTTTCTCGCACATTGTAGCAACCAAATGGAAGCCGACACCTCACGCGTAAATCCATTATTGTTATTACCATTGGCGTTGTTGTTCCATTTTATTCTATTATATCGGCTCTGTCGTGTTTGAAGGAGCGTAAAACGAGTTTGGACGGTGAATAAATTCCGGCGTAAATCTCCGACTGGCCTTACAATTGGGAAAACGTCGTTCGTGTAGAGGAACAGCCGAATAATTCGTGGCTCGATCGTGCTGGAAAATCAGTTGAGACCGATTCAGCACGAGTCACGTTCCCTATTCGGGTCGCCCTGGTTCGCCTGGCAAATGAATGGCTGAAATATTCAAAGGTAATTGCCACGCGTGTGCCTACCGCTTGCTATTAACACGAGAAACATTTATCGCGATCCTGCTTCAAGCTCGATCCGTTTTCTCTGCGCGGATGATCCTCACGAAAATGCAGACAATCGTTAGTATTCAAAGCGTCGAGCAAAGAAGGCCGCTGTTTACCAGCGTACGAAGACAAATGCCCGTTTGTATACCGTGGAAAATTTCATTTTCCAAGAGTCATTAGACCCGGGGATATTGGCACGGCCTGCTGGGTAACTGGTTCGCAATTTTCCTCGAGTACAAGTTATAAATAAAGCGAACGTATCGCGTGGAGAAACCGATCGATCAACGAGATTGTTCATCGGCTTCTACAGATGAAAATTATTATATATTCCTTCGTGAAACGATGTTTAACTCTTTATTTGTTAAATTAGTGTACGATTGATCGTTTCATCGGCATAAAATGATTTTCTCCGTAACTAGAATCGAATTAAATACAAGAAAGAAGGTCATATTGTGTCAAAGGAGCAAAGTAGAATAGCGAACGCTTACATTCGCGTTTATTTGAACGCTGACTCAGCGAGTTTGCCGTTTCGAATTCGTCGTCGCGTAGAGAAATTATTCGCTTATTAAGTTGCACGCCTTTGGTCTCTGCTTGTGCCCCACTTTCCACAGAAATTGCATTGAAATTCGCGAATACACGGTCCTGTGCCCGACCGTGCGAATTCGATTGTCTTTCATCGGCCATTGCGGTAATTGCGAGCGCAGCTGGATCGGCTGGAACATCAAGCGGACGTGTACGATTATTTGAAGCGACTGATGGAGAACTCGACGCGACATCAAGCATTCATCTATGCATCGTTCAATGGAACGATCGTGATACGCGGCTGCGTTTGCTCCGGTTCAATTTCACGGAAAATATACCGCAGACTCGATAAAATAATCGCGACTACCCTCGTTTATGTAATAAGAAACACACAAACGTTCCCTTTAGCCGAACCACGAGGATTAATTATCCGCAGTTAATAGGGAATTCGTCCGAATTCTCTTTTCTCTTTTGCCAATATTTATTCCAAATATAATCCAGGAACGTGGCGGAATCCGGAAGAACGGCTCTCGTATATCGGGAAATAAACGTGAAACTAGAGCTTCGACCAGAAATATAAAGGTCCCGAGAAGGCTGGCCATAAATCAATCGCATCGATATTGGCATTCGTTTAATAAATGATCCTAGAGAGCGGATCAAGGGGAACACAGTTCGTTTGCCTGCACCTCCAGCGTACATAGGGTACGATATAAACGATGCACATGAAAAATCAGTTATCGGGGGTGTTGCTCGTCCAACGAGCATCGTCGAAATATTTGACATCGCGTTAAAACGTAAACCGTCCAGAATCGTTTTGAATCGCTTTCCGCCTGGATGATCGTAAACAAAAAAGGAGAGAATTGTTCGCGGATGGCTGAGACATCCGTGACACGAACTACTGAAAATTCTTCGACAAGGGGAAGGAAAAAGGCAGTCACTGAATAGCAAAGTAGTTGTTGGGTGACGAGAAAACTCGTTGGAAACTCCTAAAATGATTTCGAGATCTAAGTTTGATACAATTTGCATATGCAATACGTTTCGATGCCGTAACGTGCTCCCACCTTTATCTCCGGCACAATACGAATCCCACCCCCTCCGGGCTACATCTCGACTTCCGCTTTCAACTCGTACCGCCTCTGCCGGTTTCTACGGCGACCGATTTTCCGACGATTAACTACATTATACGTAATGACGAAGCAAGGGTTCAAAGGGTACTTTATCGTCCCAAACCGGCGCGGCCAGAACCAGAGAATGCGGTATTCTCTCGGGAGTACAATCGACAAAGCGGTTCTCGCGGAATTTACTGCTCCATCTCGTTGAACCGACCGACAACTAACAACTAGCCGCTTTGTTCGGTGGAAAAATCGATGATTAATTCGTATATTAAACACGATCCAAGGGAACATCGGTAGTAGCATGGAAAAGAATGACGTTCTCTTACCAAGTTACACGCGTCGGAACCACCGCATCGCGCACCATTGCGTCCTGCAACTCGCTCGCTGGATCACCTACCGCACGTTAACATACTAGAACGAGGACGTTACGTGTCCGTGAAACGAAAACGTTCACTTGTCCTCGCGATCTTCTAATCGTAACTTTCTTCGTCTCGATCGAAGGATCTTCGAAAGATATCGCTAATAATTAAAAGACATCCGATCCCGTTCGGGAAACAGAGAGACTAATGTTTGTACGAACAAGAAGACAGAACACGAACTAGAGAAAAACGCGACGGATGAAACGACACACCTCTGTATCAGCGACAGCAGCGTTGATGCGGACCGCGAAAGGGAGGCTGCGAAACTGAGATGAAACCACGGCGCAACCCCTGTGCGCGCGCGCACAAAACCACCCCCGGAATACACGGAAGCAGCCCGGCCAACCGAACGCTACCCCTCGTCCCTCCCTACTTACCTTCTCAACAGGACCACCGTGCGACGAGCACGACGATGTGCTCCCGCTTCCATTTTTCCTCTCCTCCCTGTTCCATTGTCCTTCTTTCTGCCTTCTTCCTGCTGGCCGACCGCGAAATTCTCTACGAATCGAAACCTCGGGGCCTTTCGCGGCTACCAGCTTCTATCTCTATTAATCAATGCTTCCTGGTGTAACCTCCGAAACGTTTCTTCGTTTCGTTAGCGCATTCTTGATTGATTGCTGCACTGATTCGGAAGATGTGTAGGCGAAATGAAAACAGTGATCGGGATTCTAGTTAAGGACGATACTCACCTTTCGCAGGGGATGTTGGAAAACCAGAAAAAGGTAAAGAGTCAGACGTATTGCGATTACAATTTATTACGTGTGTTGAATAGTACAAGAGAAAAAAATAATACAACAAATGGAAGAGGTTTAGCGGGCCACTAGAATTCATTCGATCAGAGCTCGCGTGGCTGAAGCTCAATGACTCATTGATAGAGGTCGAACAATGTTGCTCATTCCGAGGACTTTAATTGCCAATTACCAGGGCATTGGTAAACTCGGGCTTTTTTAAATTCGGTCAATCGAATCGCGCGCTCGTGGAGTGTCTCCGCTGCCTGCTTCCAATTACTCCCCGGTCCTCGCGTTTCCCGGATTCGCGTTAAATCGTTAACCAGTCGCTATCGAACTGACTTTCCCGTATGTCCACGCGAGAAAGCAATTGGAAACTTTCTACCATCTACCAGCTGGGACTTTAATCGTCCATGAACTTGACCCATACGCGTTATTACATAATTGAAAATCTGTTTTATCTCAAAGAAAATTTAGCTGTTTCCAACAATTTCTTTTCGTTCTCTTCGTCACTCGGCAATTTCACCTTCGAATTCACTCTTCGATCGTGCGACAGCCGACTCGACTCTTGAGGAAAGTTTCCAAGCATTTTATTGACAAGCGCATCGTTCGCGGTAAATTGAAAGGGGAACGTGTACGAAATTTCCCTTGGCAAATTTCATTTTTCATTTCGTGTCTCATACAAAACGTTGTACAATCAAATAACCCTGGCCGATAAAGTAACGTTACATCTTTTCGCAATTTAAGGCGCTCCGGAAGTTTCGACGTTACGTGGAAGCCGAGGAAGAGTCCGAGTATACACAGGAAGGCTTCTTCGAGAAAAGCTCAGCGTGCCGAGGGATCCTTAATAAAAACCTACGATCACGGAGTAGCCGTAGGTGGTAGAGATTGATGGGAGGTTGTAAACAAGTTTTACCTTCGTCGAATTTATCAAAATCGGTCGACCTACTAGTCTTATGCGCAAAATTACAAGCAGCCTTTGTCATCGTCATTAATTAACGACGGGTCAAAATAGGAAGCTTGCGAGGTCTGAACGAATATCCTCCTTGCTTTCGAGTGTAGATTAAAATTTAAGACGAGGATCCAGCCACTTGTCCAACTTTGTCGAGCTTTACGACAGCCACCTTGTAACTATTATATACCTACTTAAGAACCAACGAGAACGCTCTCGAAGTTGCCGGTTCTATCTACGAGAAATAAGTTTCCTCAACTTTCATCGACGGTCTGAGCAAGCGACGAAACTCGATGGCTGCTAAATATCTTTCAAGGAAAATATTTATTTGGCGTTTTCGAAAGTGCGCGTTAAATCGACGAGTCGAAGACGTCGAGCAAACATGAAAATCGATGCAAGTGTATCTTGAAAGAACTGCATCAAACATATCTCTGACATACTGAAACACGAAGATGTATTCAGGAACAATTTTCACGACGAATTCGTCTCGAGATGAAAAATTCATTTTCTTCGATGCAGCTACTCCTTCGAGAGGATCTCTCACGTTGCATCATCGCGTGCTTTCCCTCCAATACTTTCATCTGTTTCCAAGGATCCTGGCAGGGCGTTGCCGTAATTACACAGCCTTCTATTCAGAGTCGCCTCGAGCGTGTCCCAAGATGGCAATTCGTCTCCATTCTTCGACTCTGTGTCGTCCAGCTTCCGTCGAGAGTCGAGCGTGTTCCAGGTAGGTGACTCCTCTCGGCTGATCATCTCTTCGGACGTATTTTTCGCTATATTACGATCCGAGCGGGGGCTGACCCGTGCCGGTGTGCTTCCTGAAATTGAAAAATCAATTGCCGTATTGTTTGTGCACCGTTACCGGCGTTCGTTGGCGAAAAAAAATAAATCCCCTATCTGCTACGAGTAAATTGTTGCCACGCTCGTATTAAACGATTGAATGCCTCGAACCGAGAGAAATGCAAATAAAGCGGAACACGGACCGGAATAAAATAATTGACTTCGAGAAACGATCTACACTGTCGCTCGAATTTCATTCGTTAAAACGTTCCAAGAGATATTTCTGTAAATATTTTCACTCGTTCTGTTTTGACGGAAATTATTCCGCATTTATTCGACAGCATTTTCAGCCGGTATATTTGGAGAGCGAAGAGGTCGGTGAACGCAAACTATTGCCAGTGAATGTAGATTTGCTTTTTTTTTTTTTAACACGTTCACTGATCACTATAGAAAAGATGTACGTTCACCAGTTATAGTTCATTGACCTTATAGTTCGGTGACACTGTGACACGAATACGAATAAAAGCAACCTACCTTTGATGGCGTCCCATATAGGAGCACGATATTTTCTGAGCGTTATTGTTCCCGCGAAAGAATCGATCGAGGAGCTCCAAGACGATACCGAATAGGAATCCCAGACGCAGAGACGCTGTCTCGTGAGCGCGTTGCGCCTCAAAGTATCGTGCATTTCTTGCATTTCCTTTTCCAGCTGCTTCTGATGTTCCGCGACGATGCGACGTTCCCCAACGCCTGGCGATAATCGTGCGGGTGAATCCAATAGATCCGATTCCGACCTGCAACGGATAAAGATGACTCTATTATCTATCCAGCATCGAGGTCATTATTTACTTAATCTGCACCTCGGTCTGTAAATTTGCCTCGGTGCATCCGTTTCATCCACGCAGATGAACTTGCTCGAACGACGAGAGGATTCCCTGGCGACCCGTTGTATCGTATCCAACATTACCGCTTGCTGTTTTCCAGGCAAAAGAGCTGCTAGCTCCTGCAAAACCTACGAAACAAAAAGTTTCTCGTCTCTAGATTCGTCTTGTAAAGCCAGCCTGTAAGAATGTTAGCCCCAAACACGGGAAGGATTTAAGGATAGAGTGTAACCGGTGTGCTAGTTTCAGGTTAGGCAGGGAATGCTAGCTTTTTCTTGAAACGTTATTCGCGACGATGTCTCGAAACTTGCTAAATAAAAAGAACGTTCCTCCTTGAATCTTCGGTTAGCTCGTTGACTAAGAGGTCTTCTTTCTTTATTCGCAGGTTGAACAGGAGGAAGAGTTTGAAAACGACGTCGACCGAGACCATGCTCAACGTCAGCCAGGATTAAACTTAGTTTCGAAGCGCAAAACGCATTTTCCATAAGCATAAGGGAACCCGTACCATCCTGCCGCTGAATCGGGCTGTCGCTCTTTAAGTAGAAAGTTGGCACATAGAGGATGGAGACGAGAAGCAGGAGCCAAGTGCTCCTCGGCGTAGCGCGCTCGAGAAAGTAAATACGTGTCCACTTTTTTCTCTTTTTTATTTCAGTCTTCAGCGGCTCTGGAAATACATACATCCGGAGTCCCAGGAACACAGGACTCGCTCGTCTTTTCTCTCCACGTTTCGGAGATCGACGTCGAACAATTCCGAACAAAATCGTTAGAAAATTTGAAGAATCGTCGGGGTCTGGGGTATAGTAATCAGCGAGAGGAAACTTACGATCTTTTTCCTCTGGTACAACAGAGTGAAAATTTCTCGAATGGTAGAAAAAACTCCCTCGCAGATACGTGTGATGGGAAAAAGAATTCATCAAGATTCAAAGAGATTTCTTTCTGAAACGAGACCGCTTTCGCGAGCTGAGAAGCGTCGAAACATTCCCAAAAGGTTTTGCAGCACGGCACGATGCGGTGCGGCGGAAGCACGCGCGACCGGAAATTAGCTGAAATGGAAGCGCGACCAACCCCCCGAGGCGCTCTTCTCAGCGTAGCGGAATAAACAAAGCGAGAAAATACCCTTTCATCCCCCGTGACTGTTCGATATTATCCCTTCGAGAGGATAAAGTTCGCTCACGGAGGAAGCTTCCTCCTCGTTCGGAGTCCAATTCGCTCGAAGAAACGCGGAGAGGAATGCGAGTGGAGTGTCGATTCGAAAGTTTCCTCGGAGAAACTTGCTACTCGTCGTGATAATCGTCGCGCAAGGAGCAATATCGAACGAGTATTATCGCAAAGAGAAAGAAATATTCGTACGAAGAGACATTGTCGGTCCAAGACCGGCACCGACTATTACGCTGAGAAAATAAAAGGAAGAAGCTGTCGGTCGGTGAAAGGCACGTTGCTTCGTAAACTTTGAACAGCTTTGGGGACCTTAGAGATCCGAATGTCTCGCGTGTGATTCGCAACAAAGAAAAGAAACGACCATCATTTATTTTGTCCGACAGAATGGCCACGAACGTCGATGCCTCGGCCAAGGAGAACGTTAATGGAGTAAGTAGCAACCGCCTCGAAACCTCTGTACGAGAATTCCGTTTCTAACTGCTCCGTTTCCGTACGTCACCAAGAAATCGGTCAGCGTTTTATCGATCTTATCTAAAAGTCATCTCGAACACTTCTATATCTGGCCACTCTTAAGACAGAAATATCTACCAATTGATTAAAGAAGTCACAAATTTCGTGACACAATAGATTTTCCAACCAAAGGCTTAGAGGTTGTGCGAGTTTCACTCGGTCCATTAAACGTTATTTCAAATTCAGGATTTCTCAGTGAATACAGTTCGGTCGAGGAAAATAGGATGGCAGGATCTCCGTGAAAAGAGTTTTGTCGGTGTCGGTTTACGGATATCGACCAAAGGGATTGGCCAACCGTCTACCCATCTCGCGAGAACTCGCTGACACCTATTAGGTCTGGTTTAACTCGATCCTTCGACTCCTCGAATGCTGCTGATACATTTAAGGCCCTCCCGAGACTCGGTAACCTTTAGAAAAGTCTGTTTGATCCGAAGTCTCGTAGAAAAGACTCGCGAGAATGGGCAAGCTTCGTACAGGGCGAACGACACTTCTAACTGATCGTAAAAAAGTTTTCGGGCTCCGGTAAGTGCAGGATCGTGTCCTGTCGTTTGCATGACTCTCGTTCATCAATTCTTGGAGCCATCGAACCGAACCTTCTGTCTAATTATCCCTCGGTTCAGGCGACCGATAGCGGAAGCGTCTTCAAGAAAATTACATTCTCCAAGACGTATTACGTTGCCCTTAGAAAATGACTGCTCAAAATTCAGCTTCAACTTTATAATACGGAGGGTCGACACTTTGATATATGTTTTCCCATCAAATCCATCAGCTGCACTGTTTTAACATTTCTCTACTGTCCTTTTTTTGTGTCAATACACAGAACGATACATAGCAATTTTTACCGGATATGTTTGTTGCGATCTTCCTGTTTGAATTGTCGTGAAAAACGTGAAATTTTTCAATAAACCAATGGAATTGATTCAACTATCACTCTGAACGATTTTATCCAATTTAAACATCGGCGATATTTTTATCTAGTATACGGTTTTATTATAGGTTTTGTAAATTAATCGATTTCATTTGCGAGAGCATCATTCCCATCGCTAGTTGTACGAGCATCGTTGTGGCAACAACCTTCTTGTCGTTATTACAGTAACACGATCCTTTGAAGCGGCATCACAGCCCCGATTTTATGATCTCTCCGAGGTTTCACTTCGCAGTTTCTCGCCGCCGGCTTTCCCGAAGCATTAAACCAGATTTCAGAGCGCTACTCGAAAATGCAAGAAAAACGGAAGTCGTTCCAACGGTCTTTTCAGCCGATCCTTTGACTACGCTCGTTTCAAATTTAATCTCGGCTACGGACATTCCGGATCGACGCGTTTTTTTTTCCACCTTGCTGCACGTTTTTAAATTCTACCTCATATCAATTAACTCCTCTTACACCTGATTGAGCGCAAAAGAATCTCGCTGAGCAAATAGTAATTACCGATTAATATTCCAGCTATTCGATCACCGATTGAATTTCGAAGTACCTTCGTAATTATTTAAATGTAGTAACTCGATCTTCAGAACTTTCAATTAACCTTCTAATTTCGTAAGATATTTTAAGCGATTCAAAGTAATTATAATCCCATCATTAACGGTAATCATCGCGAAATATTCCACATGAAACGAGTGATTTAATATACACGTTCCATTAATGCTTATTTGCGTCTCGATTAAAAGTCAATTCACATTCAGTAAAGATTTATGCGGACGAAATGAACAACGATGCACAACTGCAGAGCCGGTTTCTTAACGTCGACGCATGAGCGACGTTTAATTCGTGCTGTCAAGGAAGAAATTTCTTCAACAGAGATAAACGTTCCTCTCTACCTATACGCTCGTATATGGTCATACAGAGAACTTAACGAAGGCATGTAAATACTTTCCCGCCAGTTATTTCTCCAGTCATGATCAAGATGTACTTATGGGTATAGGTATAGGTGACCGTAGTGGCTTAATAAGTTGGCGCACAGTCGGCGTAACGAAATTTCACAACGAAAGGGATAAATCGAGCGCGGGCCGATTACATAAGCGAAGGATAATGGAGGGGCCGTCAAGGAAGGAGCGGAATCGTCGGAAACGGCGCGGAGGCGGAACTTGAGCAACGAAGTTTGCAGTTACCCTCGAGTTCCGCATCGATATTATTGTCGTAGAATCTGGCAGCAAGGCTTCGACATCGGCCGAACGAACGTTCCCTGGCCGACGATCCTGCGAAATTACTGTCCTCTGGAATTGCCTCAGCACGACGGAAATCCGTGCTCGTCTAATCTAATGAAACTGCGCGAACTGTGTGTAATTAAGCTGCCTCGCCGCGTCTGATGCGACGCGCAGAATGAAAGCAAAGCCGAAACTCCGGGCAAACAGCGGAACGCGAACGACCGGGAACGCAAGTTTCACCGCGGAAATTACTCCGACAAATAATCGGCCATCGAATCTGGACCGCATCGCTCTATGATATACCGAGCCGAGACGTTGATTCAAGTTCAGCTTTTCAAGGGGAGGATATTTCAACCAGATTCGAAAGCTTCTATCCCTTAAAGGGATTGTTTCGTAATACGTGCAAAGAAGCTTTCGAACTAAAGAAAAGAAACTTCTTTGTCGAAATGTTTGCTTTCTGTCGGAAAGAATGAAATGAAAATTGAAAAACTCACCCTGAATTTTCCGAGAGAGACCATGGCGGAGATCAAATCAGCAGGGCCACGCTGTCGAGCGCGCGATCTGCTCATCATCACGACATACGTCAAAGGGCTGACGTCCCTCAGCTCTGTATATCCTGCAACGCCTAACAAAAATATTGATTTTACGCCATGTCCTGCGTGCCACGTGATTTTCGTAAACGGTTCTGTGATCTAGTGACCGAGGGCAGAAATTTGCCTACGTCAGCCGGTCGGCAGCGTTGATTTAGAACGTGGATCCCGACCGTTCTTTTCCGAGCAGCTTGCACGCTTGATCTATCGCCCGCCGTTTTCGGCCGGAATTATTCCTATCCGCTACACGGATGATATTCTCTACCGACGTCAACGTGAATCTTCGTTCTCGTCCAACGCGTTTAACCCTAGTCGGATGGACGTGTATGCTTTTCAATTTTTAACACCGCACACATTTATTCCGAGTACGAAACACGGCTAGATAGAATTATTGTCGCTATAGGAGTTCTCAAAGGATCAGAACCGGACGAGTCAAAAGCAATACCCTTTCGTGGTAGTGTCGAGTAAATCTTTACCAAACGGATAGCTTAGAATTCTCGGAAAAGGCGCAAGTAAACGCGCAGAAGCTTCTTCTCCGCCTATAGCTCAGCTCCGTACACGGGGATCGATCTTCTTAGCACTTTCAACGAACGGAAGGCAATTAACCCGTTTTTTTGTAAAAACGATAGAACTCTGACGAACGATGTATCGAGAGAAATCGCGTGGAAATGTTATTTTCTACCACTCGACCGTATCTGTTTTTCTGCTGGTACCCAGCAGTTTGCCGTGTTCTGTTCAAAAATAATTAACTCCACTCGCTGTTATTAATCGCGTAAAGTTTGAGTCGGCGCTTTTCTGACGGCCAAAATCCACGGGTGAAATTTCGAATGTTTTTTCCCCGGGCTGAAAGTTTCGTGGAAACCGATTCGTGCCTGCGAATCTAATTAATTCTCTGAACTCGAACTCGAGAACGCTCGATAGAAGCACCTTATTACAGCGCGACAAGTTTTCCTACAGTACAACGGAAACAGGCAAGCTTCTTACTTAAGTTTCTGTCTTAATACCTGATTTACTGAGCTTCCCTGTAATTACTCACGCGCAGCTTCTCCTCGACGTTTCCCTAATCTATCGATTCGATAAAACGAGCCAAACTTATTACCGAGCAAGTTCGTGAAAAATGAAGGCCGCCAACCCCAGGAGTCGAAGCCAAGGTTTTCCCCTGTTGTGGCTGACTACTTTGTCTCCTAGACTACTGCCGCGACCCTAGAACTTCTCGTGCTACGTCTTACCTTTCTTTCCCCTGAAAGTTCCTCGTCGTGACTCTAACAGAGAATCAAGGATCTCGCTAGCTCTCGAGTTCACTCTTTTCCTTCTCGCGATACCGCTGACGCTCCTAGCTTTGCTCCACGTGGAGAACGAGCTGAGTCCCTTATTCTCGTTAAACGTTAAATTGTATCTAATCGTTTTGCCTCGGAAGAAAAAGATCAGCCGCAGACAATTTCCTGAACGTTCAATCATATTCGTCATGCTCTCTGCCCAGCACCAGCCCTCGGATAGATACTCTACGATCCCAGTGGCGGGTGACACCTCCTGACTTATCACAGATTTACAAAATTTTGCCAATGACTGCATCTCCGAGGCGTAAATTTCTCGCCTTTTCTTCCAAGACGCTGCACACCAACAATGCTCGTGGAGGCTGTTGAAAAGATTGTTCAGATACGGCCGCAAGATTGGCTCGAGGACTTTCCGATCGTAGTCCATACCTTGAACAATACCATCTACTTGAGATAGACAGAGAAAGTATATTTGATGAATGGACATTTCCTTACCGAAATGTAACCAATGTAGAAGCATTTTAGTCATTATTGGATATGCTTCCAGATCCATATTGGCCGTTTCTCCGTCCTTCCTGACAATGTCGATCAAGAGTTCAACAGCATAATCAAATTGGCTGTTGGTGTTGTAGCGTTTCTCTTTCCTACATATTTGACGCACTCGCATTCCACGGTTCCTCATCGCGTACATTTGATCCCTAGCCTGCGTTAAAACTAGTCTCAACAGGTATACCAGGTTCTCCACGTGTTCCATCGCGTGGTAAGACAATTCCGTGTAATTCAAATAGGAACAGTTATCCGAGTGATTCTGCGAACGTAAAGTAGCTCATCTTCGCTTGAAATGTTTTAACGAGTGTCGCAGGATTCTTTCTGTGAAAAATTTTACCTGCAACGAAGAGTTGTTTGCTAGCAACACTTGCTCGAGGATCAAACTGAAATATTCCAGTTGTCTCGGGCTATATCCATGATCCTGGCTCGGGATTCCTCTAGGAAGCGAGGTCATGACGTCTCGCCATCTGACAATGAGCTCGCTTTCCATAACGTCCAAAGGTCTGGGCACGTCCCGTGTCATGGAAAAGGAACGATAATGGAGCGTCTCCAAGTACGACTCGAGCAGTCTGCAGTCGGAGACGTAGGAATCCTCGTGATGCACTATGCCGCCTACGGAATGCAAGGATACACAATCTGGATATAACCGTAGATCTTTTTTTTTTTTTTTAAATAATAACGCTGTTAGAATAAAGAGCTCCCTTTCCAGCAGCTTAAACTTTGAAACGGCAAGCGGAACTAATTCGAGCCATTCGTGCCGGCAGGATTTCGAGCTCCTTAATTAAATCACGGTACGATTAAATTGTATACATTGTTCGAGGCAGCGGGCGTGTCCGTGAATAAATGGACGGGCGTAGCGAGGGAGATTTCTATGAAAAAGCGTTGATACGATCGAGGAGTATCGTAGAATACTATGAATTCAACGTCCAGGGTACAATGGTACGCCTCGTTATCGTCACCAATTACGAATTTCCATGGAAACCAGACGATCGGACGCTCTACGTGTCGCCCGAGGTATTGATTGTCATATGAAAAATAAGCATGGGAAAAGGAGCCAGAGATTGGATAGAGGGCGAGGCGAAAACAACACCGACTCTTTCGTCACCCTTGTAAAACGCGCGTTTCCTTCTTTCTTTTATTTTCCCTGTTCCGCACCGAACTGAATTACCTCGCGCGCATTGTAGCATCACGTTGCACCGTGGATGAAAGTAACACCTCAGGTTCTGGCATTTCAGAGCAGCGACTAACTCGTCCAACGCTAACAAAACGTGTCGCGAAAGGGTGTCGGGCGACCAGCTCGTCAATGGATCTGGTCCTGTTCTTTCCAGGGACCATCGATGCACCGTTCTCATAATATGTCTAGATACCACTCGTAAACGATCCTGCGTCGAAGAGACACCCTTTCGTGTTGTCTAAAAAATTTCCACTGTATTTAACGAAGCGTTGAAAATACGCGTGCACAAAGAATCTTTTAATTCTATATTACAAAGCAAACGTATTAAGTGCATTATAAGAGAACGAACAGGAAACTGTTTACGATCGATAGAGTGAGACAGGGTAGCTAAACCGGAAGCAGAAGAAGAAGGAGACGGGATGGAAATTTTTTAAATCGATTCAACTTTTCTCATTACGTATTCACCGACGCTGCATGTTCAGTTACCGCGGAAGCAGGCAGATAAATTATTGTCGAATCGCAAGCGACTACGTTTTTATTAAATAACCAGCCCGACAATGAGGCGGCAGAGAGAATAGGTTTTGCACGGTCTCGCGACGGAACATCCGACTCGTTTGTAAAAGGTAGAAAAAGGTAAGGAAGGAAGCGGTTCCTCCATCCTCGAGGATCACTCGTGTTCCGGAAATAGGCCAAAGAATCGAAGATCGCGCGAACGTTGGTTGCATGTTAAATTATCATCGAAACTCTCTGTGAAATCAGTCGTTGTTCCTCGCTCGACGTGCACGGGTATGAAATGTAATGTCCTTATAGATGAAACCGTCAAAAGTAAAAGGAACTGTGCACGCTAGCTAGGATATCTGTGAGGTGTCTGTAGGGGCTGACTTTCGAGAAAGGGGAAACAAATGATACGCCCGACTGAACCGACGAAATAAAATCCATCGGGAAGAAGTGCATTTGTCACAAATCCGGCTAGAAATAGGATGGAAAATGTCACGTGCAACAGAAGGTGCAGTGAAATCTATCCGTACGCTGGCTCGAGGTGCTCTACAAGGTGTTTGGAAAACACCTTTGACTCTTTACGATACCTTTGATTTCATCGGTACATTCGTATGGCGCCCTTCGCGTAGTTCGTACAAAATTTCCAGCAGCACAGATTCCGTAAGGGCAGGTACACTGTCCGCGGCGTACTGTTGACTCATAATTTTCTCAGCTGCCGGAAAACGTACCCTCCAGAGGGTTGCTCGGTTCTCGCAGCGTGCACCAGAGTATGGTCCAACGGCCACGGCGTACATTCCCTGGAACAACGACAGTGTAGAAGGGACGTGAAACAAACGAATCAGTTTTCTCCGGCAAGTACGTGAAAATTACGTAGCCATAATTGTATCTCTCGAATTAGACTGACCATTCTCTGTATCGGCTAGCGGGGAAACTCATTTACCTTTGCTTATCCACGCGCAAAATCACAACGTGCCGGTTAATTAACATTTTAAATACTCAATGGTTGTGTGACGTTCGTTAGAACCAAAAGGGGACTGCGTAACAAAGCGTTCGTGTTCATTAATTTAATTAATCGACGTACCAGCAAAGGATTTAGTATCTCGCGAATCTCGTACAAATCGATACATCAGCCGATTTTCGTTTACACTCACACTTTGAGCGACGGTATAATGGAGAAGAGCATCACAATGGTAGAGAGGTATTCTTCGTGGATAGTCAGCCAAACTGGGCCACGACGATATACCGATACCAATTAACAGTCTAACTTCAACCTCTCGAGCTTTGAGTCCATTCAAAGCAATTCTGAGCAGTATTCCGCCAGCGTCCTCTATCATGGCCACTCGATGGTTCCTCGCTTCCCGTAACGGTCCATCCGAGACGGCTGTGAACCAACAGCTTCACCATTCAACCTGTTATCTAGTTTTACTTGGTTAAAAATCACGTCGTTAGCCGGAGGGGCTGTTGTTGTGCGCTAGACACCAAGCGACTTGATTTATAAGATCCTTCACTTCTTTAATACAGTTACACGGAAACTGGGCATATTTTGTGGCGCTCGTTATTCTAAATCCCCTATAGTCGTTATAAAGTAAGTTCGTCGGAGCATCTTGTTCTGATTTATAGAACACCCGGTATATCGAATTACCCGAGTCGCCTGGTACATCGGTTATTTAATCCAAAGTGTGGAAAGCAGACGTGAAGAACGGGACGAAGATGAAGGAAAGATGAGAAGACGAGGGAATGACAAACAGAAATTTTCGAGACACGCATGAAATTCATGAACTATGGTACAACGTTGACGAGGAATGCACGAAATGAAAAATCTAGCTAGGTAATAATGAAACGACGAGCATTTCATTCTTGTTTATGATTCCGTGGAGAGCCATTCTTGTTGGCCGCAAAGATAAACGTTTCGGAATATTTCAGGATGGAATGCTTTAAGATTCCGGAGGAATTTCTCGTACGCGCTTTTCTCGTTCTTAATTAATGGTATCATTTAAGTTTTCCGATAATTCGAGGAGGTTACCTGTTCCGTAAAATATTCGACAGTCGTCTGGTTGCTTCAGTATCTTGTCGAGAACCTCGGCATCGACCACTTGACCCGGTGAAACGCAACTCTGCTCCTCCATTACATTTGCAACGTCTGAAACAACGAGACGACCGATACCCTTCGATGTTCACCACCTCCTTCAAACTTTTTATCATTCCATCAACAAATCCATCGCTTATTCGGTAAACTAAATGTATTTTTCGAATAGGAAATACCTCGCTTTATGGCTGTGGCCAACAAATTTGCTAATTTGGCTTTCACAAGGTCCCTTCTCAATCTCCCAGCAGCATCCATATACTCATGCCAAAACTCTGTTCCAGCGGGAAGCAGCTTTAACCGAATGAAACCTGGAAGAGAAGTATCTTCCTCCACGCTTACCCTCGAGACTTCCACCTCGGAACTTGCACTCGGGCTCGACAATTCATCTATTCGTAAAAGGTACTCGAATCTAAGTTGCTGAGCAGAGAAAAAAATAAAAGTTGACTCAAAGATGCTATGTCTGATCTTCGTTGAATATTTCCAAGCTTCTAAGCTCTAACAAGGGGAACTATCCAAGTGTTACACTCACTTATTAATGAAACTTTGCTAGCTTGTAGAGCTCGTCGAGCTGAACACGCCTATACCCCGTTTTGTGAGCAGACGACTAATTGTTTAAAAGATATTAATAATTAAAGTTAATTACTACTTACATTGAGAAGTATGACAGACTCACACATACAACTCGCAATCTAGAGATCCACGGTTGAAATCCTTGATTCCCAACATTTTTTTTTTTTTTTTTAATGATAATTTGTCTCTTTTTGAATAACTATTACATAAAAATTCTCATTATAAAAAAAAAAAAAGAAAAAAAAAAGAAAGCGGTAACCCAGGATTTGAACCGAGGACCTTTAGATTACAAGTCACGGATCTGTTCCGTGGTTAAACATATATGACTCGTAATCTAAAGGTCCTCGGTTCGAATCCTGGGTTACCGCTTTCTTTTTTTTTCTTTTTTTTTTTTATAATGAGAATTTTTATGTAATAGTTATTCAAAAAGAGACAAATTATCATTAAAAAAAAAAAAAAAATGTTGGGAATCAAGGATTTCAACCGTGGATCTCTAGATTGCGAGTTGTATGTGTGAGTCTGTCATACTTCTCAATGTAAGTAGTAATTAACTTTAATTATTAATATCTTTTAAACAATTAGCCGTCTGCCCACAAAAAGGGGTACAGGCGTGTTCTACAAGCTGGCAAAGTTTCATTAATAAGTGAGTGTAACATTTGGGTAGTTCTCCTTGTAAGACATCGTTTCGATGTCAGCGATTTCTTTACTTTTATCCGTCGAGGCTCGTTTAGCGAAACAAGGAACATGGATGAAAACCTTCGATCCAAATTACCAGCGCCCAGCATCAAACGTTGAATCAAACTCTCCACAACAGCTTCGATCGCAGAAACATTCAGGGAATCTGCAACGGATTCGATTGATATAAAAGATCGAGTAACTTCCCCTTTTTGTTGCTGAATCCGATATTATCGTTGTTTTACGCGCAATCTATTCAGTGTAGAGTAAATCGACGTGCAACGTTTATCGAGAATGCTCGTTAAACATTCACCATTCTGAGCCTGATCGACCAGCTTGTGGAAATACGCGTTCAGATTATACAGTTGACCCTTGGTAAAAGCGAACTTCGTAGCCATTAATCGAATGCCACCCTTCTTGCACGACGGCACACTAGGTGAACAGCCCATTTTTTGTCTAAAACAAACGAACAAAACCAAGGCAAAAATCGATGGAAACCAGGATACGTGAGAGATTACGAAACAATCAATGTTTTCCAGTTGAAAGGAGAAACAGAGAAAATTTTTAAATCTTTCATGGTTCGACCGGAAATGCGGAGTAGCGACAGGACAGAGGAAGCTAAACAAAAAAGGCGATGTAACGCGACAAATCACGTGATAGGATCAATCTCTCGATGGATCGCATGAAACGTTGTTAAATCACGTCGCTTTTGGTGTGCTGTAACTTGTCGCTAAATAGCCGAATAGCCTGGAACTGTTTCGAAACAGTTTAAGGAATTTCTCGGGAATGCACATTCCGCTTTCTCGACAGATTCCGTGCATATGTCTTTGTCAGCTTGCTGCACAGCTTCACGTTCATTCATCGTCGCACTATCCTTTTTTTCGCGTCTATCACTACACTCTCGCTTCTTCCTCAACTTCCATAAGTTTTAGTGAAAATTGTGAACACATTCGATTATGGAAACTTTAAGATGTGTTGTAATTATAATTTGTTATATTTAAAAAACAACTATGATGAATTGTTTTATTCGTTTTACCTTTGATACGTACTACATGTAACTAAACACGACCAAGTTCACAGACATAGATCCACAGTAAATACTGAACGAATGCTATATCACAAAGCAAAGCAACCGACTGACGTTTTCATTCCATCCGGAAAAATATTGACGCTTTACAATCGTGTCCCTGTAAATGCATCGAACGCCAATTATTATTCAGCAGATCGGCTACCAATGCCAACGTAGCGTTCGCACACCGGAATTACTTCCGATCCTGATTGTGTGTGCTTCACTTCCGCTACCGTGAACGCCCATTCCTCCCTCCACCTACTGTGCATTATGTTACCATTACGATGTTTCCGTCCTATTTACATACCAGAAATCTTCCAACTAACTCCATAAATAACAAAAATTTCAGGTGTTCGAGGAATAAGTTTTTTATAAATGAAAAGATGCTTGAACATAAAAACACAAATTATTATCACTTCCATTTTTATAATAACTACGAACAGCGATTAAGATGGAACAGATGATAGCATTTTCATTTGTATAGTCTTTGATTTGAGCAAGGGTAGTGGGCCACGCATGCGCAGCGGAGAAGGGGGAACGCGACTCTATAAACAAGTCGCTTTATCCCACGTCCCACGATTCTGGCATCATTGCTACGGCGGCAAAAGACTGAACATGCCTTTGTTTTCGAGGGGTTATGATTAAGGTGGACTCCGCCATCTATGTAATAATGGCGGAAACTACTCGGCAATTTCCCGACTGCAGGATGGTCGATCGATAAGCCGGCAGTTTACCGACTGTAGAATGGTCGATCGATAAGCCGGCAGTTTACCGGATGCCAGGTAAGTTGTCGAATAGTTTAGGGCGTTACTGTATAGATGGCGCTGGAATCAATATTCAGAGATACGTGATTTATGCCGGTCTTTTTAAAATACACGTTCGTCCAACAATTATTTTAAAAACAAAGGATACGGAGATGCAGTGATTTATTGGTAGTCCCCGCGAAGCTCAAAAAGAATGAAGAAATAAATAACTGCCAAGGGAGGCCTTGGGTGACTCTGCATACCGACATGATTTCATCTTGGGTGTTAGGGAACCCGAAGCACAAGTGACGCTCTTTGCATACCGTGATTATACCCCCTGTGGCTCGGGGGGCTTAGAATACGGCCACGGTATCCCCTGCCAGTCGTAAGAGGCGACTAAAAGGGGTCCCACACACCCCGAATGTCATAATGTCAGTATACAGAGAGAGTCAACGGTGCTTCGGGGTCCCAGACACCCCAGAATCGAATCAGGTGGTACCTATCACTATGCCGAACAAGTGAGTTACATGATTTACTCGTTTTTCGTTCTTATATTTCGCTAGATTCGGTCAAACCCATCACTATCCCGAACAAGTGAGTTTCACGATTTGTTCGTTTTTCGTTCTTATATTTCGCTAGATTCGGTCAAACCCATCACTATCCCGAACAAGTGAGTTTCACGATTTGTTCGTTTTTCGTTCTTATATTTCGCTAGATTCGGTCAAACCCATCACTATTCCGAACAAGTGAGTTTCACGATTTGTTCGTTTTTCGTTCTTATATTTCGCTAGATTCGGTCAAACCCATCACTATTCCGAACAAGTGAGTTTCACGATTTGTTCGTTTTTCGTTCTTATATTTCGCTAGATTCGGTCAAACCCATCACTATTCCGAACAAGTGAGTTTCACGATTTGTTCGTTTTTCGTTCTTATATTTCGCTAGATTCGGTCAAACCCATCACTATTCCGAACAAGTGAGTTTCACGATTTGTTCGTTTTTCGTTCTTATATTTCGCTAGATTCGGTCAAACCCATCACTATCCCGAACAAGTGAGTTTCACGATTTGTTCGTTTTTCGTTCTTATATTTCGCTAGATTCGGTCAAACCCATCACTATCCCGAACAAGTGAGTTTCACGATTTGTTCGTTTTTCGTTCTTATATTTCGCTAGATTCGGTCAAACCCATCACTATTCCGAACAAGTGAGTTTCACGATTTGTTCGTTTTTCGTTCTTATATTTCGCTAGATTCGGTCAAACCCATCACTATTCCGAACAAGTGAGTTTCACGATTTGTTCGTTTTTCGTTCTTATATTTCGCTAGATTCGGTCAAACCCATCACTATTCCGAACAAGTGAGTTTCACGATTTGTTCGTTTTTCGTTCTTATATTTCGCTAGATTCGGTCAAACCCATCACTATTCCGAACAAGTGAGTTTCACGATTTGTTCGTTTTTCGTTCTTATATTTCGCTACTTGCTTTGGGGTCCTTGACACCCCGGTGATTAAAAATTGTATGCAGCATTACCGGTACCTTGGGGTTCCTGGTACCCCGGATGCCAAAATGTCGGTATGGAAACGGTGTTACAGGGGCATTGGGGTTCCTGACACCCCAATATGATATCATGTCGGTGTGCAGAGATTGTTATTGGCGCTTTGGGGTCCTTGACACCCCGGTGATTTAAGATTGTATGCAGCATTACCGGTACCTTGGGGTTCCTAGTACCCCGGATGCCAAAAAGTCGGTATGGAAGCGGTGTTACAGGGGCATTGGGGTTCCTGACACCCCAATATGATATCATGTTGGTATGCAGAGATAGTTATTGGTGCTTTGGGGTCTCTGGTACCCCGGATGCCAAAATGTCGGTATGGAAACGGTGTTACAGGTGCATTGGGGTTCCTGACACCCCAATATGATATCATGTCGGTATAAAGAGATAGTTAATGGTGCTTCGGGGTCCCTGGTACCCCGGGTGCTATATTATTGGTATGCAAAGATATACACCGGCGTTTGGGGGTTCTTAATACCCCAAAATGTTATCAGGTCCGTATGAAGAGGGCACAACCAGTATAATTTTTTTCCAGAGTTTATTTAATTTACTTCATTTATTTCTTTTTGTTTATTAAATAAGCTCATCGAAGGGGAATAACATTTATGATTATACCCCTCTTCTAGGGCTCAGCCAGGACCCCATTTGTTTTACTTTTTCCAGTTATGTATATAATTTTATCCCTCATTATAGGCCAAGGCCAAGGCCATCTAAGTATCCCTTACATCCCTGCATTCCTTACATTCCTGCAACCCTTGAACACCCTTTTTTTTTTTTTTTTTTTTTTTTTTAACGTGGTGGAAATCTTCAGAAAGACACCTCCGGCCACCCTGGGGAGGGGCCAGAGGTAGTGTGGGATTTTTACCCACTAAAACCACCACGGTGGCCTGCACTATGGCGGTAGGGAGGGTCCTTTGACCCTCCGCCATGTGCCAAACTCCGCCAACATCGGGGGCCACACCCGATGCCGGCACTCCTCCGGCAGCGTGCAGTGGAGACCGGGGCCACAGCCCCGGACCCCTTCGGGGTTCCATTACATCCCTCGTTTCGTCCCATCTCTGCATCCCTTACATCCCTGTATTCTTTTCATCCCTACCTTCCTTACATCTCTTCATCCCTTAAATCCCTACATTATTATCATCCCTACATTCTTTTCATCCGTACACTCTTTTCACCCCTACATTCTTTTCATCCCTACATTCCTTACATCTCTTCATCCCTTACATCCCTACATTCTTTTCATCCCTACCTTCCTTACATCTCTTCATCCCTTAAATCCCTACATTATTATCATCCCTTCATTCTTTTCATCCCTACACTCTTTTCATCCCTTCATTCTTTTCATCCCTCCATTCTTTTCATCCCTACACTCCTTTCATCCTCACATTCCTTACATCCCTACACTCTTTTCATTCCTACACTCTTTTCATCCCCACATTCCTTACATCTCTTCATCCCTACATTCTATTCATCCCTAATTTCCTTACACCTCTGCATCCCTTATAATAAATATATTACAAAGACTGCTTCGAGTAAAGGTAAGTAAAGGTAAGTAAATTTCGCGAAAATTTGAAAAACAGCGCCCCCTAGCGGCAAAAATGTGAACTAAAATTTCGATGTCGAATCAGCGCCATCTGGTTTCGGAAAAAGGAACTAAACCAGGCACCATTTTTGGCCCTCTGGCGGCAAACATGTGAACTAAAATTTCGATGTCGAATCAGCGCCATCTGGTTTCGGAAAAAGGAACTAAACCAGGCACCAATTTCGGCCCTCTGGCGGCAAAAATGTGAACTAAAATTTCGATGTCGAATCAGCGCCATCTGATTTTGGAAAAAGGAACTAAACCTTGCTCAATTTTTGGCCCTCTGGCGGCAAAAATGTGTACTAAAATTTCGATGTCGAATCAGCGCCCTCTGGTGGCGAAAAAAGGAACTAAATTTGCATAAAATCGCAGACATTATAGCCGCAAAAATTTCAACTCAAATTCAGGGAGGTTCTGGGATGTATGGAATGCAGGAATATAAGTGATACAAGGATGTAAAGGATACAGGCATGTAAGGGATTCGGAGATGTAAGGAATGTCGGGATGTAAGGGATAAAGATATGTAAGGAATGTAGGGATATAAGCGATAAAGCGATGTAAGGAATGTAGGGATGAAAAGAATGTAGGGATAAAAAGAATGTAGGGATGTAAGGGATGAAGAGGTGTAAGGAATGTAGGGATGAAAAGAATGTAGGGATGAAAAGAATGTAGGGATGAAAAGAATGGAGGGATGAAAAGAATGGAGGGATGAAAAGAATGTAGGGATGATAATAATGTAGGGATTTAAGGGATGAAGAGATGTGAAGAATGTAGGGATGAAAAGAATGCAGACATGTAAGGGATGCAGAGATGTTAGGAATACTGAGATGTAAGGGTTGCTGGGATGTAAGAAATGCAGTGATATAAGGGTGCAGAGATATAGTGGAATCAGAGATATAATGGGTGCAGACGGAAGTAATAAAATCAACACGTTCGTCCTTGTAAGGAGGTTATTCAACAAGCTAAGAAGATAATTACAGCAAATTAAATGAACGTAGAAAATAAAATAAGGGTATATGTAATATGTATGCCTTTAGCTACCTACATGAAGCTAGCCGGAAAGAATAATAAAATATGATGTAGGTGTCGGGGACCCCGATACATCGGTTGCGCTCTTTATATACTGACCTGATATCGTCTTGGGGTGTCAGGGACCCCGATGCACCGGTGGCGCTTTCTATATACCGGTCTGATATCATCTTGGGGTGTCAGGGACCCCGGTGCACCGGTGGCGCTTTCTATATACCGGCCTGATATATCATCTTGGGGTATCAGGGACCCCGAAGCACGAGTGGTACTCTGTATGTCGACATTATGGCATACGGGGTGCCAGGGACCCCTTAGCTAAAATGTACGACCTATAGACTTTCCATAGAAAGATTGAAACCTCTAACTTTTAACTCTGACCACTTAGGCGTACAAACGCAATGGTTTTGAGCTAGTAACGAATAAAGTTAATAGCTGAAACGATAGATTAACAATTGTAAAAAATGCAGTCATACGGTTATGCTATAAAACGACTGCTGTCACGTAAGTTTTGATATCAATGTTTTATGTCTAAGGGTATTATGAGTCATTAATTAATGTATCTGTATTGTTTTGTAGCGTATTCTTTATTTATGACAACTTCAACAGCAGGATTACAATCCTTTGAACCGGTAAATCATTTTAAAGGTATTGGAGCAAACAATTAATATGTAAGAAGAAACAGAAAGAATATATTTAACAGAGACTATGTTTTGCAGATGTTGAATATCCTGAGCGTAGTAGGCTTAGAATTGTTCAAAAACAACCTCAATATCCAAATACCATGCGTCCTTTTAAAATGCAGAAAAGATTGAAATTAATGAGAGGCCCTGAATTATATCACAATACTTTATTACACAAACAGTATGGAGTAATAGCAACTGGAGGTGGCAGAATGAAATTTAATCATTTTGAATTTGTACGGTTTATATTATACAAAAACATTGATTACAAGGTAGCATTTGCACTTTGGAGAATCCCAGATCCTTGGCAACCAATTACCAAGAAGGTTTTTATGAACATTTATTCATATATATATTACTTTTTATGATATGTGTTGAGGGTCAACAGGAGTGACACTAGTGCCTCTAGCAAAGTAGAAGTGCAGGATAAACTATCCTTGTTCCTGAAAGACAAGAGAAATAAGGATGTGTCTACCTTTGGCTGGAGTTCCTCAATTTCACTGCACAATGTGCTCCAAGATCAGTTTGGACTTAGGTCATTACTCCTGATGACCCATATACTTAAACCAGTTTTACTAAAAATTTATACATTACAGAGTCATGGATCACGTATGGGAGGTGGTAAAGGAAACATAGATCATTATGCCACTCCAGTAAAGGCAGGACAAGTAATATTTGAAATTGGAGGAAAAATTGAATTTTTCGAGGTATTTAATTATTCTTGATTAATTATCTGATTGTTCGTGGATTAACCAGTTTTGATGTTTAAAAGGTGAAGCGTCATTTAAATAACATTGCGAAGAACTTGCCTTTTGATGCTATGGTTATTACCCAAGAAAAGATGGAGGAAATGGCAAAGGAAAAGAAAAAATTAGAGGAGAAGAATCAGAATCCATGGACGTGGAAATATATCATTCAAAATGATCTACTGGGTTCACTGAAATGGGTATCAAAATACGACAGGCGGTGGTTCAACGAATATGTTTAATGATAATCTGTATGAATTTGTAAATATTTATGAATAAACAATGGAAATGCTAAAAAAAATGATCTGCAGTTTATTGCATACATCTGAAAAGTATTTGTGCACCATTCACGAAGAGTTATTTAAGCGTGAACGTCAAGAAATAAGTTGCGATCAAAAGAAAGTTTCTCGAAGCTTTGAAACTTGAACGACACGTACCGATTTTTATGGGACGATGAACAAAATTCGAACAACATCGATATGTTACAATTACAATATTTTATATATCTTTGATGACGGTTTGGTGGTAACAACAGGTAAATACTACATATTGTACATTGAGTAGGCGATAGTCGTATCTTATTGTTTAATTAGCGTATCGGTTACGCCGATGGCAACGTCCACCACGGCGACAACACCAACGACATGTTAAACACAGTGAAAACAGCGATAACAACAACAACAACAACAATCTCAATAACAATAACAACAACAGCAACGATGACTGTGTAATCGATAGAAGAAGAATATTAATTATAATTTGTAATCCAATAATAAAGGATAAATACAGAAAATGATGGTCGTTATTATGAATATATGCCAGCTATGAGAACAATACTATCTATATTAGGTAGCGAAAGAAAGATTAAATCTGCTAGAAAAGCATCGTTGATTATTGCCATTGTCGTCGTGGACGCGGTCGTCATCGCCGTCCTCGTCGTCTTCTTTTTTTTCGCAGGCGTCGTCGTCGTCGTCGTCGTCGTCGACGATTATTATTACTTTCGACGTTTCCGTCGATCGTTTTATCCGCATTTATCACACTTAAACGTAGATACAGCGACATCGTGTCTGAGGAATGTGTGTGAATGCAGAGTCTCAGCATTGCGACGATATTCTATTACAATATACGTTTATATATGTATATTTAAGAATCCTCCCTGATCGGTGGGAACTTATCAAAAATAAAAAAAGGGGAAAAGAGAGACCGGCAGTTTCGACTTGTGGGACGTCTCGAAGACGCTTCCGTCTATAGGGACGAGCGGATTTCTTATCGCGTTTAAACAAAACTCTCTTCAACTTTGTGTACAAAATTCGGCGTTGTGAGTTGCATCGTGCTCTCTGGACTGGTTCCTCCGTTCGATCGATTCGTATCCGCAGCGTTTCCGATCGAACGTGAACAGGAAAACTAGTTAATAGTTTTTTAAAATAGCGCTAGTAATTAATAATATTGTAGTAGCATCGTGGCCAGAGAGGAATGATCGAGCGAACGGATACAAGTACCATAAGCGCCTTCTGAAGAGTAACACACCGCTTCCGTTCGGCTTCCTCTATACGGAATCGCGAGTTTCGAACGAGAAACAAGGAAATGCGTGTGTATGTACAGTTGTGACCGACGACCAGAGCTGGAGGAAATAGTATTCTAAGTAAAAAATAGTAACTGTAAGATCGATTTGTACGTCGATAGTGTAACAGGGGCGAATCGATGCGATGCGGTCTCGCGTCTTCTCTCTTTTTTTCCTTTCTAACATCAGTTGCAAACAAGCGGACATACAACGCAAGCTCTCTCTTTCTTTCTCTCCACTATTTTCTAAATAGTAAATACTATTTTTGTCCGGCTCTGCACTGGACTCCTCGTCCCGAGGATTCGTCGAGGGACGAGGGGCACCCTCGGCGCGAAGATTAGATTAGGAGTAATTAGCGCGTGTCTCACTCACTGTACTCGATATGATTGATTCGTTCACGGTCCCGTCGTCTCGCTCGCAAGATGTATCCACGAGAAAATGAAAAGTATAGCTGACGGGTAAAGGACGCGAAACGACGGCACTTCCTCCTCGTTTGATCGTTTCCGAGGATACATACATTTAATCGGGCGAAAGGCAACGTAGATCGCGCTTCGCGGTTTATTAGTATTTAATAATAATGCGTTAGTTAAGCTATAAGACTAGATTCTCGGCGGGGTATCTCGCGTTCTCTCCACCACCTTTTAACCCTTTACATCGACTTCAAAGTCTATACGGAACGTACGAAATTGGCGAAAATAAAATGACGCGAAATGTCGCCTAAGTGTTTGTATTTAACTCACGAATAAAAAGTTGCAAAGGGCTAACGTGCATGGGTTGCATCGACGCTCTCTGGACGCTGATCAGGACGTCCGTTCTCTTTTTCTCCGTGTTCGTCGACATTATATCACTATATCCCACGCTTGGACGTGCTAACACACAACTTACAGATACGTACATACTTAGACACGTAGTCCTTAGATGCCTATATAAGATAGGGTGATCTGTTCAGGGATTTATGATTTCATATAGATCATGGCACACCTGCCGACTGATCGCTTCGAAGTACGTCGTTCGGTTATGTCGGATTTCTTTTCAGCGGACAGGTAACTCGTCGTTACAAACAGAGGAACAAAACTATCTCGAATTATTCCCTTAGTAACATTATTGTACACAGATATGACACCTTTGAGGACGCCTTTGTACTTGTTACATTCAAATACCTATGCATGCTGTACAAAGTTCTTTAACACATTCCAAGTCAAGAATATCGTAAAATAATATAGAAAATTGTATAAAGAATAAAACTGAGGAGTAGTCTACGTATAAGAATTAAAAGATAAAATTCCACTTTTGAGTGTCGTCGCATAAAGCATCAATAACTCGAAGGTGTTAAAGAAAAGTACAACTTGTCGCGTCAGTCTTCTATATAATATAATATTAAAAAACAAAATACCATATTTCCTTGAATCAGAGTTAAACCTGTGCCGCTAAAACGACGAATCTCTTGTTTTGATAATCGTTTACGCGTTGATCGCAGAGGGTAACGAGACTCACGATTGGATTCGCAACAGGAAATGAAATCTGGTGCGGAAGAACGCTGGCTATATGGTGTGCGTGTATTTTGCATTTTTCTTACTTTCATCCGTCCTTTCACACTGGCACGCATTCACTCGTTTTCTCTGATGAGTCAGTGGTTTATGCGATGTAACACTAACGATGGCACAGATGCGATTGCGCTTACATTCACGCGAAGAAAGCACGTGTCGCATGATTGCGACGCGTAAAACGCGTCTAAGATCGGGAACACGTACGCGAACAATTGCGGAATCCAATCGAGGAATGAATGGTAATCAAAAGCGATAGCGGAACAGCGTGTAGGACCGCCGCGAGCATCCTAGGAGATTAGCGTTTCCCAATTAGCCGCCCGTGAATCTTTCAATAATCTCCTCTTAAAGCTATCCTTTCAATCTTTTCTTCTCGCTTGTGTCGTTTTCAACGACGGTGTAACACGTCGACTACCATAGCAGTCACCGATAACTGGCGTTTTAAGTAAAAACCCAAGCTAGAAAACTTTAAAGTACTCTAGTAAATTGCATTAGCTTGAAAAATTAATACCCCTGGTAATCCACACCATCGTGTGCCATTTTAGATAACATCTATTTCTACCATTGCAGTCAACGTGTTAGTTGCATGGAATGGTTCAAGATCCCTGTATAAAACGACTTCGAATAGGATCAGAAAGTTATAGGGTAACGCTGCAAGGTAGAAATGTGCTGGCGGTCCAGATTCGCGTTTCCGTTCGGCTCCTACGGTCTGTCATTAAAAGTGTTACAGTCCATCGTTAACATGCGCTAGGTCGCTTATATATATATATAATATATATATATAATTATATAATGTATATATGTACACAGTCTTACAAAGCAAAATTTACAAACATTACGACGTATGGACGATCGAATAAATATTACGTCTCCTCCGGCGCAGATCGCTTTAAGTGAACGGCCATCCGACGTCATCGAGTCGCGATATCGATCTCGTTTCGCTTGGAACTACACTAGGAAGACTAATCGTTCGATAAAAGTAAAAAGAAAGATTATATAAAAGCTATGAAAACAAAATGGAGAAGGTTCTTGTTTTACAAGATAGATAGATAGATAGATAGATAGATGGTGGATGAACGGCTGAAAGCATTGAAAGACGAATAAAGGTAAGAGCCGTGGCTTTATCGAAGCCGAGATCGATTTCGAAACAAAAGGGTCGGTTTTGTTCGGCCACTGTTTCTTCTTTTTTAGTGAATGGCCCTGTCGCCGCGGCGGGAACGAGAGGTAGAGGTTCGATCGCCGCGGGGAAAGGGATTGTGAGCGAGAGATCGATAGTGCACGGAGGCGGAAGCGAGGATCGGCGGTCGATCGATCGCCGGGAAAAGAGAAGAAAGCTGGTCGAATCGGAATGGCGCGATCTACCTACCCCACCGGCAACCGACGATCGCACCTTTTAAAGCCTCTGCGTTTTGTGTATGTGTATAGGTGGTGTAGTGTAGCGTGTAGTGTGTATGCACTCGTCATTGTACACGTGTGTACCATGAATTTATTTACGTACCTTGTACGCGCGCATCTCTCTCTCTCAGCGTGTATTTATGTATTGATGCATTTGCGCGATACTGTTGATGTGCTGCTAGGAAGCTGACTAGATTATAGCCTAGAATACGAAACGCCTGGAAAGCGGCCGGCCTTCGATTGTTCTCCATTGCGAACGTGTGCTACGAGCGAGAGAGGAAGCGGAGAACGAGGGCCGCGTCCTCTCCGAATTCTCAACGAGGATCCCAGGCTTTCGTATCGACGTTGACTACTCGGCCTTCTCGAAGGCCGAACGCCTTTACCTAGGCGTTCGATTCCTTTAGGTTGTCGAAGTATTGCATGATCTGGTTGTAGTCCATGCCCAGATTCAGGTCATCCAACGCCACCGATTCCTCTTGTTCTTGAGAGGAGGAGGCGGACGAGGAGGAGGAGGAGGATGAGGAGGATGAGGAGGAAGAGGAGGAGGACGGCGACGAATTTGGTGGCGAGGAGGACGAAGCCACGGTTGGGGTAGACACGTTCATCGAAGAAGCGACTGCGGACGTTGAGAAGGACGAGAACATTGGATTACCGACGATCGTCGCCCTCTTCACCTCTCTGGCCCTAGCGTCTTTCGAATGCCTGTTGTCATCGTGAGTCACTAGCTCGAACTCTTCCTCCTCCTCCGCGCCGTTTTCTTTTGGACTACCTACTCTAGCTTTACCGTGTGGTTTGATATGC